ACACCTTTAAGCTAGGCTGGCGTAAGCTAAAAGTGGGTTAGGTGTAATAAAGCATCTTCAACTTACAATACATTCAACATAAAATGGGTTATCAAGATGTAACCCCACAGCAAGTCAAGGGGCATGGGTATATTTGGTTAATGAGCATAGAAGCGTGCGGCATTAGCTTTCCTTGTCACTGGCGTGCAATACCTGCTAGCACAACTTAAAGGAGGAGAGGTTTATTGGTTCACGGTTTCAGTGGGCTCGGTCCATGGTCACCTGGCTCCGTGGTGAAAGAGGAAAAGCAGCTCATGCCATGGTGGCCAGGAAACAAAGAGAAGGGGGAAGCTGGAGGGGAAAAGCACTCCTCCAGGTCACACCCACAGTGACCTACCTCTTCCAACCACCCTCCACCTCTTAATGTGAGACTTTTGAAGGACACTTTAGATATAAACCATATCACTTTGAGACCTTGATTTTAACTCTTTTGAACAAATCCCCAGAAGTGAGATTCCTGGATCACACAGGCAGGCTGACTTTCACATTATGTCAAGGAGTTTCAGAATCCATCAAATAGATGTTAAAAGCAGAAGGAGAGTAGATTATCGAGCTCAGCCTCTTCATTTTTAGCAAAAAGCCAGGAAGGAGAAGGTTAGCTAAGATGCCCCAGGCTACAGTAAAAACAACATTCATGGTACCAAGTGGATGCCTGGCATTTACAAAGTCCACGCGACACTCCCAAAGAAACAAGACATGCAATAAATATGAAAATATCTGGTGAAGACTCCACGGTTTGCCTGTTGCACTAAGGATCAAACCCAGGGCCTTGTGCATCCTAGCAAACACTACTCCTGAGCCAAACCCGCAGCCTGACTGGCTGTTGAAAGGATCGATCACTTATTCCTGTGTCTTGGCTATGAGGATGGGCACCATGCTGACTTATGCTTGGCTCAAGTGAGAGCCTCATGGGGGGTGGCTGCCCCCGTGACAGGAACAAGAGGTCACATGATAAGACAGCCAGCAAGCAACTGGGGAATAACTGGGGCCCCAGTGACCCAAGGACCTTCCCCTCAGCCGTGCCTCTTAAAGGTCCCGCATCTCAATGAGAACCAAAGCTGCAATGCAGGAACCTGTGGGGAATCACATCCAGCCCACAGCAGTGATCTGTGAGGCAAACCTCAGAAAGGGCCATGCAACAGAGACTCACCCGCAAAGACTACTCTTGGGGTACGCTAAGCAGGGAGTCTGATGGCAGTGTAGCAGGGGGAGAGGAAGGAGGAGAAGGGAGGAAAGCCGGTCATGGAGAAGACTCCCTCTGACTGTGGTTCAAAGTGGCGGGGCAGGAAGATGCTGGGACTTCTTACTGTGGCCTTTTTAAAACAATTTTTTGCAAAGTACAAATCTTTTATTCAGAGTATAAAAGCAATGCCGAAATATCAAACTACAGAAAAAAGCACAATGTAAAATAAGGTTCCGAACGACTCCATGACTTGGTGATTATCAGTCACGTTTTAATTTTCTGTTTCTCTGTCATCTCACTGTGAAGGTGCTGTGAGTGTGATGGTTGTTTTATGTCTTCTTCCCTTTTTAAAAAGACAGTGAGAACACAGGGTACATTTCTCTAGGAATAAACGTTTTCGATAAGATATATGGCCATTTTTTAAGGGAAAGACGGGATTTTAAAAATTTGTAATGTTGTTTAGCACTAATAAAATTGAGCATCTGCTCAGGTTTCTTGATTATTGCTATTTCTTCTTTTATTAATTGTCTTTTGATGTTGTCTATTCTTCCACTGAGTTATTCATCTTTTCCTTATTGACTTAAACAGTACTTTGTATATTAAGAATATTAATCATTTGTCATAGACTGTGCAAATATTTACCCTCAGTTTATTGTCTTTGAATTTTATTTTGCTTTTTTGTCATGTAAAAGTTAAAAAATTATATCTAGAGAGAGTATATCAATCTTTTTCTTCGTGCCATTTACTGTTAACAGTTTGGTATGTTTTCTCCAGACATTTTCTGTGCATATGCAAATATATCTATAAATAGATCAATGAGTTTTTCTGAACATTTGAGAGTCGTACACAATATTCTGTGGTTTGCTTGGTTCACATGCTGATATATTATAACTGCTCCCCATATTTGTACATAAAGATATAACTCTGAATATTCCATTGTATGAATTTAACATTATGCTAATAAAACCGTTCTTAAAGATTTTTTGTTCTGATATTAAATATGGAAGTTTTCTATGTCTCAAAGAAATAGATCCCTAAGTTTATTGATTCCTCATAGTGTGCTGTCCCAATAGCATTAATAAAATAATCTATCCTTTCCTTTCTGGTATGAAATAGCTTTGTCATACATTTAATATAATATAAAGAAAACTTGAGTTTCTCTGTAGATTTTCATTTTCTCTTGTTCTTCTTCTTGTTGTTGCTTTTTTCCCCCAGGGATTGAATTCAGAACTTTGTACTTGTGAGGCAAGTGCAGTGTCATTGAGCTAAATCCCCAGAATCTCTGTAGAGTTTTCTATTTTGCTCCTTTTACTTATTTCTTCCCCAACACCATGTTGTTCTAATGACTGTAGCTTTATGATATATTTTAACACCTGAAAAATCAATACCGCCCCTGTTTCATCTTTTTTAATATTACCTTGGCTAATTCTTTTTCTTTTACAATTTACTTCTAAAAATTTCATTGTGGGCTTTAGAATAATTGTTGAAATTTCCAAAACATCTACTTAGGATTCTCATTAGACATGTGTTAGATTACTTAAGCTTTATCAACATTTTGTAAAACAAGTATTTCCGTTTAAAAGCTGACTATGAGCTGGGCATTGCAGTGCTGCCTGTTATCCAGCTTCTCAGGAGGCTGAGGCAAGACAGAAGCAGTATCTCTCCTCAGTTGCTCAGTGTTCTTCTCATAACAGAAGTAGCCCCACCACCACCACTTTGTACCCAAGTCTTGCACTTTTCATCATGTTAGTTCTGAGATATTTCATATTTCTGTTATAATTGCAGGTGAGGGTTTTTAAGTCTACTTTATGACTATTATTAATATATTGGAAAGTATCGCCTTTGTGTACATTTTTTAACAATTTACTGAATGTTAATCTAGTTATTTTCAGTTTTTAACTGATTTCTTTGTGTCATTTGCAAAAGAAAGAAAGAACAGGAGGAACCATATGTGGTTTTATTTCTTTTACTGTATTTATGCTCTGTTTCTCCTTCTTGGATTCCACAGGGATCACACATATCTTAATATTTTCATTTCTTTATCTTTTCTTCTAAGTGCTTGGAGATTTTCTTGGGTTTATCTTCACAGTCTCTGATTTAATTTCTTATGGCATCCAATATGTGATTCATGGTTCCTTTTGGATCTTAACATCCAACAGTTGGTATTTTATCTCTGGACTTCTCTTCTTTGGAAAGTTGCTAGTGATCCTTGGTGGCTACAACTGGTGAAAGATTTATTTTGGCTTATGGTTTCGGAAGTGTCATTCCATAGTTAATGGCTGACTTCAGGGCAGGAAGGGCATGGTGGAGGAGTCTCGCGAAGGAGAGCTGCTTGTCCCATGGCTGCCAGGAATCAGAGAGAAGGGAGGAGCCAGGAAGGAGCATGCACCCTTCCAGGTTGGATCCCCAGTGACCTCCTTCAGCCAGGCCCGACCTCCTAACACCACATTCAGCCGCTGAACTCACAAATGCATGAATTTCACTGGTAAGAATAGTACCCCCATCCGTTCACCTGCCTCACATGTGGGAATTTGGGAGGAAATTTTCTATGTAACCCTGACCATGACTGCTCTCCTAACTCTGTTCTCAATCTCTCCCTCTCTCTATTCCTTGAATTCCCAAGTTCCATCCTAGTCTTCCTTCAGTTCTTACTCCCCAAGTTTCCCCTGACTGATCTCATCCTTCCCCGGGTCCACTGCCTACCTGTCAACCCCCATCACTCTGTTGCTCCAGGCAAAGGACATCTCTGACTCTTCTTGGAGGCATTTTGAGTTTGATAGGTCTAAAGCAGAACGTGCATTGTCCCCCTCCAAACAGTCTCCTCTGCAAGTCTTCTCTATGGCATTAAATGACCCAGTTGCTTAAGCCAAAAGCCAAAAGTCATCCTCGATTGTTCTGTCTTCAACCACTTGTTACTCACTGTCCTACCATCCAGCCCATCAGCAAACCCTGTTAACTCTACCTGGAAGTATTTCTCCATCCACCTATTTCTTTCTGTCATTCTCAGGCCTAGGAAGCCCTCTGTGCCCAGCGGCCCACTTCTCTAAGCCCCCCGTGTGCCCTATCCACAGCGGCAGACTCTGTTCCTCAAAGCCACCTGCTCCCTTTCCCCACCTGAAGACCGACGGGGTCTCTTTGCTTTTCATGGAATTCTTCTCCATTTCACTTTCGTCTAATCCTCATCACAAGCGGACATGACTTTGGCTATTTATTTTGATTATCTGAGTCTAACATAAATAAAACCTTCTTGAAAGTATGGGCCTGACTGACTCGTGTTCTGTTGACTTCCTGTCATCTAAAATAGATTGGCACATAACAAGTGTTCAGTCGATGCTTAGTAAGGGGTGAATGAATCCTGGTGGGCCTGATACAGAGCACGCTCCCATTTACTTACTAAGTTAATAGCCAAGTCCCCCCAGTTGTACTGGATGCTCCTAGAGGGCAGATGCCCTTTGTAGGTTTCTTTGTTCCCACCCTAGCACATACCATGGTGCCAGGGGCTTCTGGGCGCTGAGGTTTATTCCTTTATGCTTTAGGTTTATTCCTTCATCAGGGAGATGCCAAGAGTCCTGCTGGCTACAAACAGACTTTACTTCTCTGAGAATAAATGGGTGACATGACACGGATATCATGAAAGACAAGACAGGCTGGGAAGGAAGAGACGGGCTGGCTGTCATTCTCAGCTGGGATAAAGGCAAAGGAGCGTCTTCTCCTCTGGGACCCGCCTACCAAACTTCTGGCCATGATGTCACATTGCTTTCTGGTTCATGTGTTGCAGGATGAGAAGTACATCCTGGTGATGGTGGATCCCGATGTTCCCAGCAGGTACAATCCCAGAGCAAGATTCTGGAGACATTGGCTGGTGACGGATACCCAGGTAAGCAGACCCAGCGACTCCTCTGACTCACCTGGGATTGTGGCTGGAAGGTAATCACCCTGTGCCATCTCAGCTGTCCCTCGGGAGGTCTGGAGGCCTGGATAAGCGAGGACGTCTGTGTCCGATGACCCCCAGCACTTGGCTGTCATTGCCCCCCGCAAGTGAACTGTAAGGGTTTCAGCGAGTGTCCGAGGACTGGCTGTGGGTGCGCTGGTAATCCAGCTCTCAGGAGGGGAGCAAGAGGAAGCCCCAGAGCTTCATATTTGCTGCTTCGTGGTCAAAGGTGCTCTTCCACGGTCAGCTTCGAGGTCACGATGAACTGAGAACTGGCTCACAAAGGTGCTGAGAGCTTAACAGCTTTTTCGGCGTGGCGTTGGCACAGTACCGGGTTGGGGAGCCGTGCGACCTTGCGTTCCAGGAAGCAGCACTGTTGCGGGGCTGTCCTCGGGTCGCCTCTCCTGCTGGGTTGAGGGGCACAGAGGAGGCTTGCTGACTTCCCCTTCTTGTACGGAAACACAGCCACCCTCATCTTTGCCTCCTGATAGTTATGAAGGCTCCTGGCTCACTTTTTTGAGACCAGGTCTGAGGAATACAAATTTGGTGGATGCTTCGGGAGCATTTGGGGATGGGGGAAGCTCTACTACAGACAGTTGCTGCTAAACCGAATTGATCTCATTCTCACTCAATGGCCTATCAAGATTTTACTCTCCTAACGCGATCCACAGTCATCCCTGGGTATTGTCGGGGGACTGCGGGTTCCAGGAGCCCCATGTATACCAAACTCTACTCTGTCGCGTCCCTTACATGCAGTGGTAAAGCATTTGCTTAGAGCCTACACATATCCTCCCAAATACTTTAAATCATCTCTGGATTGCTGTTACGTAATACATCACGAGCTCACCCATACCTACTGCCGTGTAAATGCTATGTAAATAGCTGTTGCCCTGTATTGTTTAGGGAATAATAACAAGGAAAAAGTCTGTACGTGTTCCGTACAGATACAATTTATATATTCTCCAATCTGTAATTGGTTGAATCCAAGGATTCGGAACTCACAGATACAGAGGCCACGCTGTTTAAAATATGCATTTGTTTCTCAATCTTGTTTAATTATAGAATCTTTTGTTCATGAGTGCCTGACAATGTACTTTGGGGGGAATCCACAGGAGCCTGTAAATATTCACGAATCTTCTGTGCCTAGTAAACTTGCAGATGGCTTTGACAAAGAGAGGACAAAGGCCTCCACACCAAAGACAGTGGGAACCCAGATCGGCTTTGGGTTGCCTTTGGTTACCAAGTCATTGATCGCTGTCACCCCCTGAGTATTTTGCCTTTATCCGTAATCTGCAAACCAAGCTACCTATTTTATGTGGTTCCGGTCATGCTCCGATGAGATGGTCCACTGAGAGCGCTCTGGAAGATGTTGCGAAAACTGTGGGCCCAAGGGCTGTGTCTCCCCTGCCAGCTACATGGGTGCAGGAAGGGGTGTCAGTCGACTTAACAAGTGGGAACTCTCGCACCACAGTGGGGATGGGGCCGGGGCGCTACTCTGGCAACCCACCGTTGGCCCGGCACGCCCTGGCCCTTCCCAGGAAGCCTTCCTATTGCAGGCTGGCTGGGACCCTGCTGGTCTCTCAAAGGAGACTCCAGCAGCGGCGTTCTGAACAGTGCCTGAGCCAGCTCGTGGCTCCTGTCCCCGCAGGGGCCTCTCTGCTGGGGAGGGGTTTTGGAGCCATGTAAGGGGCAGAGCTGGGGAAGGTCACAGCAGGGGGCGGGGAGGGCAGTAGCCGGCACACAGGTGTCAGTGTCCTCATCTAGGCCATTGCGGTCTTCTGGCTTGGGGGCTAACAGTGTGGAAGGCTCGAGAGGGGTTGTTGCTCGGAAGGTCACATTTACAGCCTTTCCTGCGCACACTCGGCTTCCTGGGAGTGGGTCCCCTCGGCAGTTCAGAGGCCGGAGTGCAAGAGCAGCTGTGGATGCAATGGTTCTGAGGCAGGGGACCTTGGAGCTGTGATGCTGCCTCTCTTCAGATCCCAAAGCCCCACTCCCACCTCACCCGCCCCTCGCTCTGGTACCTGCTCAGGACACCTCTCTCATAGCTGCTCTGCATGCAGCGTGGGCTTCACCCCAGCAGCCCCGGCTGAAAGGCAGAGCAGTGGCAGGTGACAGGTGGCAGCTGTTGGGCAAGACTGCTGAGCTTCAGAGCTTAACCGGGGCCACCTGCCTGGGTGCAGCCCAGGCTTCCCACTCTGGAAGGAGGAGGCTCCGGTTTCCTTGTGGTTTCACCCACTCTCTGTCTGGGTACCCAGCAGGAAGCCCCAGCTCTTCTTACTATGTCCACGTGGCCCGCCTACCTGTCCCCCAAGTTCCACCAGCTATAAAAATGGTGGAGCCTCTCCACTGAGATCTCAGGTCCCCAGCCTCAGCCAGAGGAAGCACGTGCTCAAACTGAACCTAGGAAAACTTTCTGTGCATCAGTGCTCACTGCAGCCAGATGGCTCCGTCTGAGTTACTGTCCAGTAGTCACTGGGCATAATAATATACAACCATCACAACTTGCTTTTATTTTGAGACAGGATCTCACTATGAAGTTCAGACTGGCCTTGAACTCACTATGTAGCCAGGCTGTCCTGGAACTCGCCGTAACCCTCCTGCCTCAGCCTCCCAAATGCTAGGATTTCAGGCATGAGCCACTGCACCATAACAAGGTGGGGCTGAGCCGGCAAGCTTGGTGGGATGCAGATCTCTGGGTACCCTGCCTGCCCTGGCGAGTGTATACTTCAGTCTGTGTGGAGAGAACACAGTACCGTGTTGGGCAAACATCCTGGAGGGGCAGCAGCTGCGGGGAGGCTATGGGGCAGTACCAGATGCCTTAGTGGTTGGCAAATCTCCCATCTGTGGAGTCTCCTTAAAGTGAAAACACCTTGGGAATTTTCGCCAATCAAGCATGACCCATTCTATAGCCAGGGGAAGCTAGTGGGCTCACAGGGCCACCATGTACCCCTCCTCTGAGGTAGGGACCCCCAGCCCACTCCCAGAGCTCTATCTCCAACCACCTTGGGTGGACAGAGACTTCCCAGGCGCCCTCCCCAACGAGTGTTATCTTGGTAATCCATGCACGCGGTCAGCATTTTGAACCCCGTAAATCATCATTACCCGGGCATTCTCCGAAGTGGAGCACACAGCAACATCAGGGCAGTCATTGAATGACAATGACCCTGCAGTTCCCGGGGCCATGGAGACAAACTTGGTGGAGCTCAAGCTGGCCCTGATACTAGGGTGTCAGATCTAATCAGGTGGTGGACCAGGCCGTGGCCACGGGAGCCCCTCAGTAGGGGAAACATTTGGAAAGTCTATGCAGGCAGAAAGAGAAGAGCGCAAATGAAGGTCTTAGGAAACTGGGAAAGATCTGGAGCCCCCTCTCACCCCTAGAGATAGATCTGCAGTGTAGGATAGGGCTCTAGACCTGCAGGAGTCTTAAATAAAAAACTAGGAGTAAGAGAGCTGTCCAGGAGTAGGGACCAGGCTTTCGTAGCATCTTTTTTGGTTATTTAATTCAGCAAATATACATGAGCAGGATGGCTCAAATCCCAGATCCACCATTATGAACTGTGTGACGCTGGAATAGTTGCTCAACTTCTCTGTGTCTCAACAGACTCACCTGTACAGTGGAGAGACACTGGCAGTCTCTGCCTCTCATTGTTGGAGTGAAGCTTGACTGAGTCCAAGTGCCTAGAACCACACCCAGAACACAGCTGTACACTCTAGTCAGCTCTCCGCAGTTGCTGTTATATTACCGTCATTGTTCCAAGCCCAGTAGCTCCAGAGTCTGGGATCACAGTGCAAACAAAACGAAGGGAAAGTACTGCTTGGCACAGGGCTCTAGGGTTCTAGGGGGCCCAGGGGTAGGCCGGGGACAGGAGCTTCTTGGACCTGTGGGCTTGCATGGGCTCAGGAACCAGACGAGGTGTCAGTGCCCAAATCCAGCCAGACAGGGCAGACAGAGACTGAGCTGTTCCACATCCTTCTTGGTCCCCTTTGAAACTCTCCCACTGAGCAGAAGAGATTTCTATCAGGGCAGGGACAGGGGGCATCTTTCTCCCGCAGTGCTGCACCCTCAGCGTTTCCTTAAAGAAGCTTTTCAGTTCAGATTCAGTCGAAATAATAATCTTCATGCTGAAGCCTAATTAAGATATCAATTAATTTGCATCATTCATTTCAGAAGAAGCACTTATTGGTTCCCCCTTCTATTTGTCTCTGAAATTAGTGCTCGGGGCTTTTCATACAGATATTTTCATTAGATTTTTTATTGTTAATGGGAATATTGAACACAGGAAGGTGGTACATTAATACTTTCCACAAAGAATATCATGACTGGTGACAAAGAACATGAAGAACAATTAAGGAGACAAGAGTACCTTTTTTCTTCCAAAAAAGAAAATCTTCCTAGAAACCGTCAATGATTCTAAAATTTGCCCCTGAATATCTTTTTTGTTTTAAGAAAGAAAAGGAACCAGCAAGTTCATGTTACCCTTTCAGTCAGTGCCCTCAACCTTTGGCAGCTGTAAATGCAGCCAATTCCGGGTAGAATTAAAAGGACCTCCAAGGGGTCATTATTCTGTCTACTTTTCTACGGCGTTGAATTTTTCTATAATTAGAGTGTTGTTGTTGTTGTCGTTTTTAAAGACCTCTGAGTGTATTAGGTGAATAAGACAAATGGAAAACCCAATAAATAGGCCAAACATTGTAGCACCCTGCTTTCTAGTTCTATGATCAGCATGTGTCAGGACGCTTGTGTTTGAGTGTTCGTCCCACTCCTGAAGGAGCTTGGGCAAGAGGCTTCACCTCTTGGAAACCGTGGCTTCTCAACTGTAAAACTGATGCAAATCCTTTCTCTTCAGGGAAGAGGCAAGGAAAAAGGAAATTCCATATGCAAACACCAGCCTTCCTAGAGAGAGGCACTAGGAAAGCAGCACATTTATATTCACTCCTAATCAATG